AGGTCTTGTCTTGACTCTTTGCTTTGCACATACAGATGAAAAGCATCGGTTTTCACAACACTCTTATTACTTGAGAACTTTTGTTTATTTTTTACGTAGTTTTCCTTTAAAGGCAAAGGTCAAAGATCGCAAGCAAAGTGTTTAAAATGGGCAGATAGCACACAAGAAAGGCAGAAGAAAACTAAACTAAAATGAGACAAATATACACATATTTTTTTGAGAATTTTCAGTTTTCATTTATAATGTGGCACAATTTTATGTAAGCAACGGTAATCACACATTAGTATGGGAATACTGTTGATATATATAAACATAGTATACTACGTATGTGTGGTTGTCATTAAAATTTTATGGTCGAAACTCGAGTTTTAATAGGGACCGACAAGACAACGACAAAAGATATATGAACACACAAATATATATATATATATACATTCATATATATATTTAATAAAAGTTCTATTAGATGAAAGTTACAAAAAATACATTAAAGATATTTAAATATATATATATAAAAATTCTTAAATATTTTTATGAGCGGGAAGATTTTCATTAATTAAATTTTTTTTTAAATAAAATTAGTAAAATGTTATAAATAAACTACATTTTCATTTAAAGAAATTTTAAGAAAATAAAAAAAAAATTAAAAAAATTAGAAACAAAATAAAATAAAATAAATAAGTGAAATAAAACGGAAAAAATAATAATATAAAAAATGTATACAAAAAAGTGAAATGAAAATTAAAGAAAAACAAATAAAACAAAATAACATAGCGAAATGAAGTAAATCAATTAAAAAAGTGGAGTAAATAAAAATAATAGAATACAATAAAATGAAGTGAATTAAAAAATAATGAACAAATAGAATAAAATGAAATAAAATAGTATAAAACAAACAAAAACAACATAAATCAAAAAAATGTAAAATAAAGTAAAATAGAATAAAATGACACAATAAAATTATATAAGTTAAAATTAAATAAAATAAGACGAAATAAAATGAAAAATAAATCAAAATAATATAAAATAAAATCGAATAAATTAAATTAAAATATAAAAATTAAAAAAAAATAAATTAAAGTAAATTAAAATGAAATAAATAAAGAAATAATAAAATAAAATAAATATAGTGAAATAAAATAGAAGAAAATTAATAAAATAAAAAATGCTTTGAATAAAATATTAAATAAAAATAAAATAACATAAAAAATTAAATTAATTAATAAGTGAAATAAATAAATATAATAAAATACAAAAATAAACTCAATTTAAATAGAATGAACTAATAGAAAAAAATTAAATATAATAGGAAAAAATAAAACAAATAAAAAAGTTAAATAAAATAAAAACAATTAAAATTTCATAATAAACATAATGAAATTGAATATAAGGTAAAAAAATAAATTTAAATAAAATGAAATGCTTAAAATAAAAAAGTGTATTGGAACCTAAGTGTGCTCTAATTCTCAACTCATTTCGGGCGTAACTTTCACCGTAAAGAAAGTGATTGATTGCAAATACCCGCGAAAATAGGATCGACACACACCACCTTTCGCCTTCGAAATTACGAAAACGCGCGCTTTTACAACCATAAGTCTGGATAAGTCTGAACTTGCTATCACTGGATATTGTACACGTCTGTGTAAACTGACGTTAAGCAAAACAAACACTTCGTCAGGATCGGGAAGGACCTTTACAAACCGTTTGATACTAAACGAGGCTTCAGACAGGGTGAGTCCTTCTCGTGTCAGCTCCAGAGCTGAATGGAGAAGGTATCATCTTCTATAAGAGTGTATAGCTGCTGGGATACACCGATGATATCGACATTATTGGCCTCAACAACTGCGCCGGTAGTTCTGCATTCTCCGAACAGAAAAAACTGTTGCCATTCAATGCTATTTTTTTACTGAGTAGGCAATTGAAAAGTAAAGTCCTCTTTCCATGAACAAAGACTAAACTTTACGAGTCACTCATCATTGCCTTTCTGTTATATGGTGTGGAAACACGGACGAGAACAACATCTGTGCTACTATCGAACATTGAGGAATCCTTATTACTGCGGGCAAACGAAGATCAAACAAGAGTTTCCGTAGGGTGGTGTCTTCTTCCTATTATTGCTTTACTTTTATATTTCCGAGCTCCCTCGTCCAACAGAGCGGTTGCCTTGAACTCATAAGCCGATGTTTTCTCAATATTGGCAGCAACAAATTATTCAATGCGCTAGCTGGTAGCACCTGTGGTAAAGACAAACAAACCTTGTTGGCAACCTAAAAGGCAGTTGATCGGTCGGCCGTTTACTATACTACACCGATCTGGGCACCAGGAAGGAACGAACGTGGATGAAGAAGCTAGAGGCCTGACAGACTACCGCCCTTAGGACCGCAACAAGAAACCTACTAATGGGATGCTACCCCAGGGCACCTCTACTCAGGCGCATCAAAAAGAGAGTACTAGAGTTCAAGGATACACACGTTCAACAACCGCTGAACAGGACGGCGTACAGACAAGCACTGAACGCCATTTACAAAAAGGGAGTCTTTAATGGTGTTGACTGACTCCTGGTCGGATGTCCACGCAGTTAGAGAGTCTCCGCACGATACTAAACACCTCCTTACATTCCCCCTGAAACCAACGCATTCAACCCCACTCTCCCTCTGGTCCATACCCGTCGAAACAGCTCGATTCGAGCACCTCCCGTTAAATGACCTCGGTTACTTAGATTAACTAGCCTGTCGCTAAGCGGGACAGTGAACCACTATAACAAAAATAACAGCAGCTGATGAGTCGGCGTAAGGAGATTTCGAAAGAAACGTTTTGCGTAAGATTGATGATCATCTGTCTTGGGGGGACAGCGGGATCTCAGACGATGGAATGATGAGCAGTACGAGACATATGATGATATTGACATAGTTCAGCAAAGCAAGAGCCAGCTGCTACGAACGTATGGATCATATGGTTCGGATGGACTACTGCAGCTTGGAAAGTTTTCGATGCAGTACAAGTCGGTGGAAGCAGAGGCAGAGGAAAATTTCTACTCCCCTAGAAAAAAGTCCAGGTAGAGAAGGATCTGGCTACATTTGCTATTTCCAATTGGTGCCAAAATGTGAAATGAAGGAGTGAATGTCGCGGTGTTCTTAAACAGTAAAGAAGAAGAATGCTTAAATTTGAATTTTTTGAAAGAAATCCTATAAGACATAATCGGATAGGCATAATAATCTCTGAGCAATACCGATCGGCATGTTCATGTACAGATTTGTAGATAAACGAGAGCAAATACTCATACCGACTTATATGCAGGGGAAATGTCAAATATTTGTGGGTATGGAGGAATTTTCTATTTCTTTAAATAATTTGAAGAAAGTTAATTTTATTAGATCTTTATACAGTGTGTAGCAGAAGGAAAATATTAAGAAATTCATATTTATACAAATTTATAGTAATTTAAGTAAAAGTCGTTCGCAGCGTTAAGCGAGTTATTTGATTATCATAATTTCATAAATTGTAATTATTGACACAGATAAACTATTCATTCGTATGCGCTCATAAGAACCGGCTATAAATAACACATAATACTTGCGACCCATAAAATAACTACTGAACGTGTATGTATGACCGTTAAATAAATGAAACAATACGTGTGGGAATGTCACTCAAATGTAACATTATTATACATACATATGTACATAAATACTTTATATTGCATTATACTTGATGTATTCTTGTATGTATGTATGACTATGTACGCTTTATTGTCGTGACCTGTGAGCGCATGAAATCAGTTGAGTCAACTCTACATAATTATATATATTTGTTGTTGCTAATGATAATGTTAAGTGATAAAAAATTATTAGAGCAGAGTTGCTTAATGGGAAAAAATTTTGGAGTGAAAGAAATTATAGAATAAAAAGGATTTAAGTAAAAGAGCAGTGGCGCCTGAAGGTATACCTTAAAAATTATGCTAAATCAAGATTTTCTATTTAATTTAATTTAAATATAATATGAATAAATTAATTAATTACTATTTTATTATTCATAATTTTAATTAATTATAAAACTATTACACTCTTGTTGAGAAACTATTGGAAATGGTTTGAGAAAGTTGTTGAGTAAGGTGTTGAGAATATCTTAAAACGCTTGAGAAATACTTTTTAATGCACGTTGACAGCTTCAATTCAACTAGATATCGCCAATTTACTTCAATAGTATCATAACTCAAAACAAAGAAAAAGAAAAAAATTAACTGGATCTCTGTATATACAACAGTTTTCAAATTCTTCTTCTTCTTCTGTAAAAAATAATTGAAATTTTTAATCAAACTAGATATTGGAAAAGCATATAATACTGCGTGTGCACATTTCTGCATGATAAACTCAAATATTGTGCATTTTGAGTTAGGTCATTTTTGCAGTAAGTGAGTGTACTATTAAAAATATATATTTGGGAGTTCAAAGTATTATGTTTTAAACCTAAACAAATAGTTAAATACCTCATAACCATCATATAATTGTTTAAAATATTTTCTAGTTACACATGAAAATAGCTATGTACATATGTATGTACAATATTTCGTACTATTATGCAGACAAGTGGAATCCCCATTGGTTTAATGAGCACATAACACTTGCATTATGCAAGTATGTATGCACGCATGGAATGCAGTTAAATATTTACATACAAACAAGTACTTGTACATATGCACATACATACCGTAACAACTCCACATATATAACATCTATAAATGTCTTAATTAAATGCCATAACACCTGAACAATTTTCTTCATAAACATTCATGCATACGTACATACATACATATACATATATACACGTATAATTGTAAACTTTTTGGTATTGAATTCAGCTAATTACGCTTTTATTTGAAAAGAAAAACAAAAAAACGAAACAAAAATGCAACACTTTAGTGTGGTAATTTAGGATAAAAAGCAAATAGTTACACAGTTGTAGTGAATACAACCAAAAAAAAAAAATGAAGTTAAACTTACCAAATTCGGCGAAAAACTGCTTTTCACATCATTAACTGCAGGCGAAGCATTTGTGGGATTTGTGGCTCTGGGTACACTGCAAGGCAGAAGAGGAGGAGAAATGAAAATGGTTGAAAATTTGAAAAAAGAAAAATAAATTATATTAAAATAAAATATATACTGGCTTATATACAATATATACATATGTAGGTACACATATTGAAGGTATAACACAGTTTTGGATTACGTTTGCTGAGTTAAAAAAAAAAAATTGTTTATAAAAATTTAACATACACAATAAAAAACGAAGGCACGCGAGCGATGTGTTGTGACTTAAAAACATCTTCACCGAAAAACACAATTTCATGCTAAAAGCGGCAAATAACCCGTGAAGTTTATAGTAAAAAAAGGTATGAAAAAGGTTTGTACGGTTTCAAGAAGGCAATTCAATTTATTACAACACTTAGGTAATTGGGCAATGGCAGTAACTAAATACAATTATTGAATTTTTTCTTCAACGAAAATTAAATTCTTAAATAAACACGATTTCCACCCACTTACAGTAATGCGCCAAAATGTAGGCAACGGTTTTATACTAGTATTTTTTATTACAATGCGCTGCATATTTAAGGCATGTTGTTTCTTAAAGACTTAAAACTTAAATTTTTTTCTGAATTCTTCTTAAAAATCGATATAGTTCATATAGTAAAGACATAAAGACGCTCATAAGTAGATCACGTTTTTCAGACCTGTGTTGTTTTATGAGCGCTGATATCAAAAATAAGTAATTGCACATATATTAAAAAAATGTATGACTTCTTCGGATGTCTGAAACTTTTACTTATATTTTACTTTTATCACTTTCGAACATCAAAAGCTTCTATAAAATTGTATTAGGTAATTTTTTTGGACATATACATATTTTTTGTTATACACACTTTCCGTCTTATTCATTAAGATATAGCCCAACCCACTCCCCCACAAAGATATAAAAAAGGAAAAATAAATAAAATTTATAAGCTGAAAATTGAGAATTGAAATCACAATAAGACTACGTTTTAAAAAGGTATAAGGCTTTATACATAATTTTTATAATTTTTTTTACAAGCACATCTACTTGCGCATTGCAGAGCAATATCATTTATGACTGACTCCAAGATATAACCTTACCCTACAGGCAGTTTAACAATATAAAAAACAGAAAGCTAAATGAAAACCCACGATAAAATAAAATAAAATAAATAAAATAAAATAAAATGAAATAAAATGAAATGAAATGAAATAAAATGAAATAAAATAAAATAAAATAAAATAAAATAAAAATAGAAAGATTTAAAATTATGTAAATCAAATAAAATAAGTGAAAGAAACTAAATTAGAATTTTAGTTAGTGTTTTGTTATAGGTTTAAACTATTTTAATACAATTAAAAATCTAGTCTTTAGGAGTTCAGTAAAATTAATAATCACAAAATATTTTCTGCTTATCTTTCCTACTGTGCAACTCAAAGAGTTGTACATGAGTTAAAGAAGAAAGGTCGTAAATCGTAAAGAGACGAAACAACTTCCGGCAAATTGGCTTTGGCGTGAGAGAAGAAAGATACGTCATGAAAAAGGCAAGACAATAATAAAATTTAATGACATTCACCTGAAAGCTTCAAGCAAAAAGATATACTTTAAATGTTTGCATTTAAAGATAAGAGTTTAAGAGCAACTGGAAAAAAGAGTTTATGGAAAGATAGCAAAGCTAGTTATGGTCTATGAAATTAGAAGTATAGAATTTAACACAGCAAAATTTAAGATTGTAACAACAAAATTGCAAAATCTATTTGTTTAATAAATTCTTTTCTGCTATCAAAGGAGACAATCTTTGAGACTGCCAACGAAGCTCTCAACCCAACTGTGTTTACTTTGGTATTAAACTTTCTTTTCAAATTGCATTAATTTGTGCGCCATTCTTTAAAGAGTCTTCTCCTACCTTCGACGGCTTTTATCACTGGCATCCAACAAAGAACCCAGAAATACCAACATTTCTTACGTGTTAAAGCCAACATTGGACAACAGGACATGCTGCTGCTCTTGAGTCAATATTTGTACAGTGAGGAATTTCCGATGGTGGAAAAAAGGATAAACGATGCAAGGTAAGCAGCTTTGTTGAAGAAAAATGAGAAGAGAAAATGAAAAACACATACAACAGGTATATACATATCACATAATACATACATACATACATACATATATACAATATGTATGCATATAGCGTGGGAGAGGCAATCAATGGCTGTGAGTTTGGTGGTAAGCAAAGAATAGTGAGAAAATAATTCGAAAGGTGTATACGAATATACGATGTAACAATTAAATACAACTAAATTCATATATACAGAGTCATCCATCCGTAGGTATGTGCATAGTAGGTGAAATATGCAGTCGTGTTGGCAGGCATGCAGAAGACCAAAGGACATTTGTGATTGAGTGAAAAAGTTCTTATCTGTTTGCATTGACAAGTGAGACGGTGCACCAAAAACAAATATCGAAGTGAAGAAAAAAAAAAATACACAAGCATGAGTTTAGGCAAAGGTAGGCTAAAGGAACCATTGCATCTATGAAACGCGGTTATGAGAAGGCGGTTGTTATCCTTTAATGTGTTCATATGATTTTCGACTAATTTCTTAGAATTGGAAAGTCTAAGAGAAATGGCTCAACCTCATACATTTTTAAACATATAAACATATTTATTTTTTATACATATTTATTTGTATATGTTTATATGAAACATGCGGTTTATCCTTCGGGGAAGTGCCATTGCTTGCTGCATCAATATTTATTCAGAAAATAAAATAAATAAATGCATTTGTTTGGCGCTGTTAATGATAGTAAAGGTGTTGGCGCATAAATTTATGTGTTAAACAAATGAATGGCATATTAATGCAAGTAAAAAATGTATATGTGCAAATAAATATGTAGGTGTGTGTGTATATAAAATTCATATTTATTTATGAAATGTAAATATCACGGTGAGACGCCTTCTTGTGGTGTTGGAAATTATTGAGTAAACAAGTATTTTCGAAAAAAGATATGAAAAGAAAGCATACCTTTTGGCGCTAATCTATATTGTACTACAATGTATACATTAATCTACACTTTAAGAATATTCTACAATAAACTCACTTATTAAGCTACTATTTTAGAGCAGTTAAGTGGGTGTTCGCAACTTTTTTACCTATCTATTGGCTGTTACTAAAAATGGAAGCCGGAAAATTTGTACTCACATGAATTCTAAACAATTACTGGTATTTTTGAAAAAAAAAAAAAAAATTTTCATTGATAGAGTTTATTTTATAAATTTCTTGAACGATAATCTTATTATTAATTTATGGAATTCAAATCTAAGAAAAAAAATCCAGAAACGATACATACTTTTTGGCCCATATTTTGAGAAAACTTCCATCATGTTTCAAAAGTTTTTTCGCAAGAACTTTTATTGAAAAGTTTTAGCATATATTTTTTAATACTGTTCAAGTATTTCCCAACGATCGTTTGAATCATGCAAGATTTCTAAAATATAATAACAAAAATATTTACTAAACAAGCATACCTTTAGGTGCTCATATAAAACAATAATCGTTTAAGAGTAATTTTGGTATCGAATTCTTCACGACTAGTTTGCTTATTTTATTATTTTTAATAGATTTTTTAATTCTCTGTTGTTAGTTTTAAAAAAAAGTTTGAAATTATTTCATAACACTCTTAAGTGTCGATTTGTTAGAGGCTACCATGCGCAGGACCATTGAATAGAATCCTATTCATGTCATCCTAAAAAGTTTTAGAAAAATATTTGTCTAATTGCATTGCAGAGAATTTCAGCATATTTAAGTGAATTTTTATGAACTGTAAAAAAGAGGAGGATCCGAAAATTGCTTCAGTAATTAGAAAGCGCCAAATATATATACAGCACCAGCAAGATAAGTTTTTGATATGAGAAGAGCATAGAAGATTGCATGCTTTGCTTTAAGATGCTAGTAAAATAATTCTTAAATGACCGGGAAAAATATTTAAAATTTTTACTCTTTCATAGTAAGTAACATATGCAAGAACGCCTTATCTCACAGGCGGCTGCTAACAGCTGACGGCTAACAACACAGCTGTTCTGAAGATTTAATCGCTTTTAATGCCAAACATGACCCACATCAACTGTTTGAGGGTAAGTTTAGTTTCGTTAACTTTCTCAAATACTCTTTAAGAGAGTATAAGATACATTACTACACAAGCATTTAAGTCTCCTCAAGCAAATTTGAAATTTTCTATGAATATTTTCAATGCTTTAACCGTTGTGGGAATCTCAATTTCTCGTCACGTGCACGAGTTGACTAAAATTTAGAAAAAAATGTCTCGTGATATGCGAGTGGCATGAGCAATAATGCATTTACTGGAAAACCTTTATGCGTATCTGTATGTATGTATGCATGCATATTTGTAAGCCAGAAAGTAAGTCCATTATAACCAGAAAATGAAATGACGTGACAAACAAATCTTTTATTTAAGTATAAGAACCGTAAGAGAGTGACTCATCTGGATGGATTCTTTGTGTTGAAGAGAGTGAAAATGGGTGCGTTTATACAAAGGTACTTCTTATAAAATAAAAGCCTTCCATGAATTAAAATGTTTCACTTTTTTTCTCTCCATTGCTGGGACTTTCACTTTTAGTTAAATATAAGAATGTGATTAATATTTCTTCATTAAATAGGTTGATAACACTTCGGCTCAATAAAGTCGGTGAATGAAATATCATCACATCACAAGAAAAAAATAATAGAAATCCATAAAAAAAACAACAAACAAAAAATACTTTTTCCTCGTTTATTTTTAACATGAAAACCAATACACTTTTTCCAAATTATTTTGGACGTCATAATAATTTCTACAAAACCATTTTTCTGGCCTTTTATACTGGACAAGAAATATTAAGATATAACTGAGTGTCAAATCTACAATCTACAGCGTCAAGCCATTCTACGAAACTTTTGTGTGCAATGTGGTTATTTTATTTTCAATTTTATTTATTTTATTTTCCTCATTATAATTTATTTTATTTTATCCTAATTTTTCTCTTTTTAATAACTTTAACAAAGGTACCAATTCCTATTCCATTCTATTTTTAATTTTATCTTATTTCATTTTATTTTAATTTTTTTATTTATTTTTTTAAATTTGTTAAATTTCATTTTAGTTATTTTATTTTATAAAAAAAAGTTATTATTTAATTTTATTTGATTCTATTTTATTTCATTTATTTTATTTAATCTAATTTTATTTAATATAATATAATTTAATTCCATTTCATTTCAATTTATTTCATCTCATTTCGTTTCATTTCATTTCATTTCATTTCATTTCATTTCATTTCATTTCATTTCATTTCATTTCATTTCATTTCATTTCATTTCATTTCATTTCATTTCATTTCATTTCATTTCATTTCATTTCATTTCATTTCATTTCATTTCATTTCATTTCATTTCATTTCATTTCATTTCATTTCATTTCATTTCATTTCATTTCATTTTATTTCAATTCATTTCATTTTATTTTATTTCTTCAGTTTATTTCATTTCGTTTCGTTTCATTTCGATCCAATTCATTTCAATTTAATAAATATAATTTAATTTTATTTATTTTTATTTTATTTAATTTCACTTCATCTTTATATTTAATTTAATTAGTTTTTATTTCCTATTTTATGTTTAATGTGGTTGATTTTACATTAGTTTTGGTTTACGTTGTTTTAATTAATTTTACTTTGTTATTTTTAATTTAGGTTAATTGATTTCATTTTGTTTTATTAAATTTATTTAAATTTTTTTTTATTTATCTCATTTAATTTAATTTCGTTTCATCTCATTTCATTTCATTTCAAATTTAATTTAGTTGAATTTAACTTAATTTAGTATAATTTAATTTAATTTAATTTAATATAATTTAATTTCAAATCATTTCATTTCATTTAATTTTATTTCAATTCATTTCAGTTTATTTTATTTCCTTCAGTTTATTTCATTTCGATTTATTTCATTTCAATCCAATTCATTTCAATTTATTTAATTTTATTTATTTTCGTTTTATTTAAATTTATTTAAATTTATTTATTTTTATTTAATTTTATTTAATTTATTTTTAAATTTAATTTAATTTAGTTTAATTAATTTTATTTCATTTTTATTCATTTCGTTTCGTTTTATTTTATTATAATTAATTGAATAAAATATAAATATAAATATTCTTAAATTTTTTAATTTTTTGTTATTATGCTTAATTTTAATATAATTGAATTTAATTTGATTAGTAAAAAATTTATTTAATCTCATTTCTATTTATTTTATTTTATTTTATTTTATTTATTTTAATTTAGTGTAATTTAACTTAATTTTAGTTTATTTTATATTATAATTTTATTTCATTGTAGTTTATGTTTATTATCGTACTTTTTTTGCTTTATTTATTTTGTTGTTATTTATTTTAGTTTAAGTTACTTATTGTGATTTTGTTTCATTTTAGATTATTTTCATTTATTTATTCTTTCTGGTGTTATTTTAATTATAATTTTCTGTTTGATTTAATTCAATTAAATTTATTTTTATTTAATAATTTATTTTATTTTTTATTTAATTTAATTTAATTTAATTTTTATTGTATTATTATTATAATTATGTTTTTGCTTAACACCCAAGGTAACTCTTTAAATACATACATATGCACACAAATATTTACCTAGAATAAAAATTGATAGCCCCACTTTGATGAATAATCGGCATTGTAACTTTAAGACACCACAACATCGACCATTATCAGCTTATCTCCCCTTCACTTTTAGTTTGGTTTAGTTATTGTAAAACTTCGTTGTTTTCCCTTTAGCTTACAAAAACTTACTCACCGCCTTTGCAACGTGTGCGCTCTGCATAGCCAACTTGTGGCCGCTGCCGCTGCTGTCGCTGCTGTTGTTGCTCTTGTTTTCCTGTCTCTCTTTGGTTTCGTTCCCTTTACGGCTTCCGGTGGACTTGTGCTTGGATTCGCATTCGTGCCAGTTGTAAATTGTGCTTGTACTATTTCTGCGACTGTAGCAGCAGCACTTTTAGTTGTTGACCTCTGACTGACCATGGCAAAGCAACAGCTGACATGGGATTCGGGCAGCTGCATTTGATGACAATGACCGTGCTGCCGTCGCTGGTTAGGACGACAAAGGAACGCAAGCCACATACACGAACACAAGCGCAAATATTGGCAGAGATAAAAGCAGAAGTAAAGCAGGGAAATAAATTTTTGCTTTATTTTTATTTTTTTAAATTTCTTTTTTATTCTCTTTTCTGTGTGTAGCACACACTGACACTATAAATGGGTAAGGTTAAATTTTTTGCACTTTTCACTTCAAGGAGATTGGTATTTTTATTTTGTGCTCTTTCTCTTGTTTTATTTTATTTTATTTTATTTTTTGCCTTTTTGCTTTTTAGTTGAGCTCTTTGACTTGCACTGGGACGCTGCTGGGAGTATTGAAAGGTGCTGTTGGTCGAATGGGGTTAACACAGATTAAACTTTGGTAGCGTTTAAGTAGTATTTAAGTATTTTGTGTTTAATTGTGAAATAACGGTATGAGAAACAGTAATTAACAATTAGACAAAGCTTAGAAGAACATGTGCACATATGTACACGTATGTATGTAATTTACACAGTAGTTTTTTCCAAACACTAGACACTTTGAGGTATGTTTAATTATTAAATTGATTTTTCTTATTAAATTTTATTTTTAATTTTAATAACAAAAAATTCTGCACACTTAAATTATTATTATTTTTTTAAAAAATCCACATGACGCACTGTTGAACACCACAAACATCATATTCAAATACAATTCTACCAAAATATTTATGAATGAACCAAACGCTTTGTTGTCGTATATAACCGGCGTTTACGTACACACCGACCGGTGTTTAAAATGCAACTGACTCACTTAACGATCGCGTCAACCAAAAGCAAAAGGCATGCATTCACATAAACACACGCACACATATACAAACATATGTACATGTGTGTATATTTTTCGTTTACTTTTTGAACTCGTTTCGTTTTTGAGGCCTATTGTTTTGAAATGAACCATTGCCGCCGCCATCAAAAGCAACAACAGCAACAACAACCACTACAGCAGGCAAAGGCAAGAATAAAAAGAAAAATATCAGACATCAACTGAAATGCAACAAAAGTAATACTCCCTATATTGTATGTACTACATTTGTACATATGAACGTTTGCGTATAACGAAAAGAACACATACTCGTATTGTTGGCCAACCGTGTCCCTCTGTCATTCTTTTGGTTTAGTAGCAGGCGGCGGCAATCGACAAGAAACGCAACTGTAAGGTAGATAGGGAAGATAGATGAGCGCATCGTTGTTCGAGTTGATTTTGTTTCAGTTTTGAGTATTTTTTGAGAGCATGAAAATATAGGGTTTCAAAAATATTAGGGAGGCACTAATATATGTACAAAAAAAAGAATCACCTGTGCCAGAATATTATCTTGCAAGTCCCTGAAAGAATATTGAAGTCTTGATGGTAGAAAGCAGTTCTATGGAAATGTAAAGTCAATCTCTTTTTTTTGTTATCCATAAAATAAATCCAAAAATTTTGTGGTCTGCTTTAATTTCATAATTAACGAATAATTTTTGGTGCGGCACACCCTAACGAAAAAATTTCTTGAATCAAAATTTACTCGCTACACGTTGTCCTGCAGTTGCTATGGAAACACCCTAAATTTGCAATTAAAGAATGAGTAAGTAACATGGAAGTAGTCGCGAATAAGAGAAAAGAAAGCAGAAAAAGGAATTAGGGGAAATGAAGGAGATGTAAGGCAGCAAAGCAAATGAGGGGTGCCACATGAAAGAAGGCCAAAATAATAAAAAAGTAGTAAATTTCATTACTCTCGCAATAGAGTTGTGATTAAGTTTAGACCAAATTTGTTATCAAAATTGTGCCGTAGGCTTGATTTTTCCTTCGTTTTGTTTCATTTTAATTCATTCTTTATGCATAGCTTTATTTATGTTTAATTTTATTTTTTTTTAATTAATTTTAATTCACATTATTATATTTTTTAATTTTATTTAAAATTATTTTATTTTCATTTTTTTTTTAAATTTAATTAATTTAATTTTTTTATTTATCTTGTTTTATATTCTTCTATTTTATTTTATTTTTCTACTGTATTTTTATTTTATATTCTTTTTTTATTGTTGTCATTTCTTTATTTTTTTAAGTTATTTTATTTTATTTCTTTGCTTTGTTTTAATTTATGTTATTTCAATTTACTTTATCTTACTTCATTATATTTTATGTTATTTTATTCTATTTTAATTTGTTTTTTTTTTTTATATTATTTCATTTTATTAATTTATTTATTTGTTTCATTTATTTGATTTTATATTTCTAATTTTAATTTCGTTATTTTAGTTTATTTTACCTTGCTTCATTCTATTTATTACTTTATTTCTTTTATTTTACTTATTATATTTTATTTAGTTTAATTAAATTTTATAAATTTTATTTTGAATTATTTGATTCATTTTTTTATATTATTTTAGTTTATTTTTATTTTATATAATTTAACTTAATTTATTATTTTATCTCATTAATTCCTTTTTTATTTATTTTTTGTTTATGAGGGGAGCCCAAATCCTTGCATACTATTAGGCGCCTGCTATTAACATCCGTCCAAGAATGCAATTCTCAAATGAACCGCGAAGTGATATGGTTGAAGTGCTTTGCAAGCAAATGTTTGCAAATTATCATCTTATGGTCCATATCAGACGTCTGATCTTCCATTCCTACTTCCTTGAGCGGTATGTGTTTGGCGTCTGCGCAACGTCAAATGCCTCCAATGGCATTGGGTAAGAACCATTTTTCGGTAAGAACCCTGGGGCGTATTTGAATATATTCGACATTACCCGCTCAGATATTTTTTCCTTCACGACTTGAGTGGGCAACGGTTCCCGAGAGGAGCGTTTTGAGTTACCTGCAAGTGGCACATACCAATAATGTGACGACACAAGGATGATGCGGAAGGCATGCTTATCTCCTCACCCTCAAAAGGGAGATATTTTACATTATTGTATTTTTTATTTATTTTATTTTGTTTTAAATATTTTATTTTATTTTATAATTTTTCATGTAATTTAATTTAATTTAATTTGATTTTGTTTAATTTATTTTGTTTCATATTTTATTTTAGGTAGTTTTACTTTGTATTATTTTTACTTTGTTTTATGCTATTTAATTTTTTCTTATTTCATTTTAGATTATTTTGTTTTATCATATTTCATTTTAGATTATTTTTATTTTATCTTATTTAATTTATTTCATTTAATTTTGTTAAGTTTATTTTATTTCAATTTAATTAATTTAATTTAATTCTTTTCTATTTAACTTGTATGTATGTAATTTATTTTATTTCATTTAACTTACTTTGTTTTATTTTAAATGATTTTATGCTATAATTTTAATTCTTTTTTCTAAATTATTTTATTTTTATTTAATTAATTTTATTTTATTTCATTTTCGTTTGGGGTAATCTAATTTTGTTTTTATTTTTAATTTTTTTTAATTTTATTTCTTGATATTTTCTTAAATTTAATTGATTTCATTTATTTTTAATTTTTTTAAATTTATTTAATTTAATTTTTTCTTTAATTTTTTTATTTTATTTATTTTATTTTTTGTTTGTTTTATGTTGTTTTATTTTTCCTTATTTCATTTCACTTTATTTTATTTAATTTAATTTTATTCCATTTAATATTATTTTATTTATTTTTTTTATTTTATTTTGTTTCATTTTATTTAATTAAACTTTATTTTATTTAACTTACTTTATTTTAGTTTTTATGATTTTATTTTATATACTTATATTTTATGTCGTTTAATATTCTTTGAATTACTTTTTTTAAATTTAATTCTAATTTATTTTATATTTATTTGTTTAATTATTATTTAATTATTTTATTTCATTTTTCTTTATAGTTATCTCATGTTTATTTCTTTTCTTTTATTTTATATTTTTTTTTATTTCACTTCATGGTAATTTTTTGAATTTTATTTCCTGGTATTTTTTATATTTTTTCATGGCTATTTTTAAAATTTAATTTTATCATATCATTTTTTAATTTTTTTTATTTTATATGATTTTATTAAATTTTTTTATGTTTTTATTTTATTTCATTTATTTAAATTTTTTTTCTATTTCATTTAATTTAATTTGCTCTGGTTTTATTTTATATTAAATAGATTTTTTTTTTGTTTTTTTTTTTTTGTTTTAGGTCAATTTATTTCAGCTTAGATTTCTTAGCAGAGTCCAGCCAACAAACGTACACATGTATGTAGATAAAGGCAAACTGTGTATACAGTAGAAGTTAAAGATATATTGTACATTAAATGACAGCTGATAACAGCTGCTGCTGCGCAACATGTCCTTTCTTTTAATCTGTTGCTTCTCGGCAGAAATAATTTCCTCTTACTTTTACTTTGGTATTATGTGGCAGCTGGTAACAATTGTGTACTTGTATGTACATACATACTCGTATGTATACATATCTGTATGTACAATCTGTGAAAAGAATTTACTAAGAGGTGAGGGCTCTCGCTCTGCTTTTCGAGGCAACGTTTTCAAGGAGGAGAATATGTTTCTACTTTTATATAGGATTTTATTGTAAATACGAATGGAGTGAAATGTTTTAATTTTTTTACCTAAATTTTTGTTCCATTTATTAGAAAATTGACTCTTTTAAATTGCAATTGATGCTGAAAATTCGAAATATTAAAATTTGAAAACTTAGTCCGTACTTGGCAATATATTTACATATAAATAAGTGGATATATTATATATTTATATATGTATGTATCTTCGATATGCTCAAAATGCCTAGCCTAATTGTATGTATGTATTTTCTTGCATACAAACAAATACATACATATTTTTAAGCTATACTTTGTTCTTGTTGTAGGGTTAAATGCTTGATTTGCAAAACCGAAAAATGTTCAAACATCTGCTCCTTTTTAACAAACTCCTTTCACATACATACATACTTACATTTAAAATATATACATATCTAGGAGAAGAGTAAAACTGTAGGAGTGCAATAAAAACAATTACGATCAATTGTCTCTGGATTATATAGAAAAAAAGTTAAAACAAAAAAAAACAACAATAAAAATCAGAATGAGAAGACAAGCCCCAGACAGTCACAAAAGATACCGCTAAGTGTGCAATGGACTAGCAAATTTTCATACCCAATAGCAAATTGCTGTCCATGATACACTGAGTATGTGTGCAGTAAGAAAATGTCTGGCAGAATAGGTAAACCAGCATATGCTCCTTAATGACACTGAGATAAGATTACAACAAATATTGCTGGTAGAGTATGAATAGAGAAAAAAGCGTATTTCGAGGTCTAAAACTATTTCGGATCGAACAATCAACGCAACACGGCTCTTGTGTGTATTCTCGACACGTATCCTGGGCTGATCTTATTCATGCCAAGATGATCGTGCATGATTTCAAAAATGGTTGTCTCGGATACTTCAACCCTCTTTGCACGTAGTTTGTTCTTTAGTTGAACATCGTCCAACAAGTACAATTTTTTTTTAACTTTTTGGATAAGTTTCCAGAGAAAAACGAAAATATAAAAACGATTTTATCGAAAGTTTCACGTAAATTGAATCATGGATAAGAAATTTTCGTATAGATCAGTCCCTGAAGCACTTCCCAGAGGGCAGAGTAGTCTTACTGCTAATCTAAACAAAAAGCCACCTATAAACTCAATTTGAAGTAAGTCGAATCCTAAAAAGGACTTTTTCGAATAGATCAGTACCTGGTCCACTACCGAGTTTCGTATAAACCTTTCCAGGAACAATAGGAATAATGATTTGAAAAATGTTCAAGCCAATCGGTCGATAACTTTTGTAGATGAAGAATTTCAAAAGGGTTTGTAGCGCTCA